GATTTGTGGACATCTCCGATCGTCGGTGTATCCGGTTTTAAATATTATTTAGTAATTATCGATGATTGCTCGCATTTTCTCTCTGGACTTTCCTCTTAAGCTAAAGTCCCACACCTTTTACGCTTTCTCTCAATTTTTTTCACCTTTGTGCTCACTCGGTTTGGTTGCACCATCAAGTCTGCAGGCAGACAACAGGCGTGAGTTTGACAACTCCTCGTCTCGCGCTTTCTTCTCTCCGGGGCCAAAGGTGTCACCTTCGCATGTCATGCCCCTACACCTCATGACAAAATGGCAAAAGCCGAGCGCATGCCATGCAAAATCAACAATGTCACTCGCACCTTGCTCTTCCAAGCATCCATGCCCCCACCCTCTTCGGGCCGATGCCCCTTGCCACCGCCACCCTCCTCATCAATCGTCTCCCAACCAAGACCACGAACATGAGCACTCCTTTTCTCGCTCTCCATGGCACTCTCCCTCCCTACCATGACCTTGGGGCTTTGGGTGCACCTGCTACCCCAACCTCACTGCCACCACTCTCACAAGCTCGCTCCACGATCTTCCTTGTCGCCTTTATTGGCTATTCTCCACGACCACAAGGGCTACTGGTGCCTCGACCTGCGCCACAAACAGCGTCATCATCTCCCGTCCACGTTGTCTTTGACGAAACAACGTTCCCTTTCTCCCTTAAATGACTTTTGCCACCCACACACGAGCTTGATTTTCTAACTAACGGCGATTCTTCTTCGTCGGCTTCGTTTCCACCTACAGTACAAAGGGTCTTTGGCACCTGCCAAAGACTTATATGTTCTCTCAAATGGTGCTCCAACTTGGGCAGCACCGGCGTTTCGAGCCGCTCACGTAAGCCGTCCGTTCTCGCCGCCAGCACCTCCGGCCTTTTCTCCATTTCGGTCTATACATCGCCCGCCTGGCGCCCATGGCGCCCTGATAAGCGCCCAGCCGCGGCGCCAATGGCGCCCTCTGTCTGGCGCCCAGCGTCCGCACTTCACGGCGCTACCTGGCACCCTCTGTACAAGTGCCCACGGCACCCTCTGTACTGGCGCCCATGGCGGCGCCTCCCGTCTGACCGCCTCGGGCGCCACCTTCGCAAACCACCGATCGTCCATGTCTACACCCGGCGTCCACCCGCCGCCACCGAGTCCATTGTTGGACCACCTCCTCGGCGCTCGGCGATGATTCCTCCTCGCCTCGCTACATCAAGAGTGACCCTCCTCTTCCAACAGGAGCTATCTCCATCCCGCTGGTCGCCAACACTCATGGCATGGCGACCCGCGGGAAGTCCGGTTACCGGCGGCCCGGCGCTCGCTTTCTGCACACCGAGGCCTGTCACCACTACCGCGCTCTGTCGTGGCGCCTCGCCAACCCTCATCGGCGTCGAGCCATGGAAGAGGCAGTATGCTGCCCTCTTGGACAACAACACTTGGAATCTCGTTCCCGTCACCCAAGGCGAATGTGGTCACCGGCAAATGGATCTTAAAGCATAAGTTTCATGCGGATGGTTCCCTGGACAGATACAAGGCTCGCTGGGTGCTTCGCGGGTTCACCCAACGTCCCGGTATTGATTACGACGAGACGTTTAGCCCCGTCGTCAAGCCTGCTACCGTTCGTACTGTTCTCACCTTGGCTCACTCCCGGACTGGCCAATCCATCAACTTGATGTGAAAAACGCCTTCCTTCACGGGACCTTGTCAGAAACAGTGTACTGCTCTCAACCCACTGGATTTGCCGATCCTGCACTTCCTGGACATGTATGCAGGCTCAACAGATCCCTCTATGGTCTAAAGCAGGCTCCGCGAGCATGGTACAGCCGGTTTGCCTCCTTCCTGCTCTCTCTGGGTTTCAGTGAAGCAAGATCAGACACATCTCTCTTTATACACCGCCGTGGCACTGAAACAGTCTACTTGCTCCTCTATGTCGACGACATTGTTCTCACTGCCTCCTCCGAGCAGCTCTTACATCGTGTGATTGAGGCGCTCAAGAAAGAGTTTGCCATGAAGGACCTTGGCCCTCTTCATCATTTTCTTGGTGTGGCAGTTCAGCGCCACAGGGATCATCTCACTTTGTCACAGCGTCAGTACATCCTGGACATTCTTGCTCGCCATGGGATGAGCGACTGCAAGCCTTGTTCCACTCCTGTCGACACGTGTGCCAAAGTTCCTGCAAATGCCGGTCCTCCTGTTGCTGATCCCACAGCCTACCGCAGTCTTGCAGGTGCTCTTCAGTACCTGACATTCACCCGGCCTGACATTGCGTACGCCGTTCAGCAAATCTGCCTTCACATGCATGATCCCCGGGAAGTTCATCTTGTGGCTGCCAAGCGGATCCTTCGGTACCTTCAGGGCACCCTCAGCTTCGGTCTGATCATTCCCCGGTCTGCTCCAACACAGCTTGTCGTGTACACTGATGCGGATTGGGCCGGTTGCCCTGTATTGATTAAGGAATACTAAGCCAGTTTGGCCTTCCTCTAATAATAAGTTTCAATCCTATGAAGTGGGATTGAAAAGTCTGCTTCAGACCTTCAACCCCGACATAGAAAGGAAAGTCAAGCAACAAACAATTTAAGGCTAATAAACTCGCTATTACACAGATCATAGACCATGATTCAAAAGACATAAGGCCAACTCCAGGCACATCAGCCACTACCACAAAATCCTCATATCACAGCTCGACTTCAAGCATTATCTTCCTCTTCATCCTGGCTCTTGTCGTCCTTAAGCTGGAGTTGTCCTCTGTTCTTGGAGTCAGCAAGTAACTTTGTCGCCACCTGAAGCATGATGTTAATGCCTTCAAACAAGCTTCTCCTGAGTCTTTGTTGGGTATAAACCTGTCCGGTAATTCATTAGATCATAGGCATAACATATTATTTTCAACGGGTTCTTGATCAATTTGTTCTCAAAGCAAGCTTTATTCCTAGTTTTCCAGATAGACCAACATATGGCAGCAATACCAAAAGTGTAGAACATAGCCCCATGGGGTAACCATTTCTTAATCTATAACCCACATTGGGTTAAATTGGAGGGAATATCAGAGGTGCCAATAACCTGAGCAACCACTGACCATACCACCTTAGCAATGGGACAATAGAACTAGAGAAGAATGAGATATATTCATCTTGCTCACAGAAATAACATTTTGGGTCACCTGATCAGTTTCTTTTGATCATGTTGTCCTTGGTGAGGCTGTGTTGTTCTTGATAAGCCACATAAAGATTTTTATTTTAGCAGGGACTTTCTTTCCAGATCAACTTATGATTAAAAGTTTAGAATCCACATCACCAGCTCTTAAAGCATTGTATAGAGATTTTACTGAGAACTTGCCACTTTTTTTTTCAAGTCTACAGGAGATAGTCTCCCTCCTGTAAAACAAAATTCCTGCTTGTGATTGAATCTGGGATCAAACAGAGCTAAGTTCCCAAGGCAACTAACATCTAAAATTCAACTGAAAATCCTTCTAACTTGCGCCACTGATAAATCTTGCTCTTCACATAAACAGAAAAGAACAGGACATCTCTGAATCATTGGTTCACTGAAAGCAAGGGTTTCCAAAACTGGTTGTTTTTGCCATTTCTAATTTTTACTTTCCTACCCTGGAGATACAGCGATCTGACCTTGAGTAGGTCAGCCCAAACAGGACAATTATTATGATTGTGTGTTATCAGAGGAATAGGCTTCCCTTTTATATATTTGGATTGATAATGTCTTGCCAGATCCCAGTTTCCTGTTCTAATTTCCACCACCATTTAGCAAGAAGACTTAGATTTAACCTTCTGATATCTTTAATGCCCAATCCTCCTTTCTTTGTACCAGAACATACTTTTCTAGATACATAACTTTCGCATGCATTATTGCATTTAGATACACACTATGTCTAGATACATGGTAAAAACAATTGTATCTAGAAAAGCCAAAACGTCTTATAATTTGGAACTGAGGGAGTATTTTTTTCACACACTCCCACCTTGCCAAAAGAAGGTTCTTCTTACTTTATGCATATCATTAATCACTGTTTTGTGAGGGAGATACAGACATGTGATAAATGGGCGAGTTGGTCAAACTAGTATTTATCTTCTGTTTATTGTAGCGTGGAATGGCAATTCCAGCTCATGTAAAACGCCAGCTGCATCATGGACAGGCAGAATTGAAGGCGTAGCAGCAGCATCTAAAGGAACTGAAGATGGAGAATCAAGTGATGGTGGCTCAGGGAGCAACTTTTGACAGCCCCTCAACTGAGGACCTATTTGGGGACTCTTAGGTGACTGAGGCTGCTTGCAATGCCTAGCTTCGTGACCTTCCTGCTTACAGTGGAAGCAGTGAGATGCATTCTTGTAGTTCGCAGCATGAAGCATCGACCAATCAGATCAGTAGGCACCAAGCATGCACCTTGATGCTGAGATTTTGGTGGCAATGGAGAAGCGCGATGCTAGAGGATACACTTGTTGATGCGATGATCGGCGAGGAAGAGATAGTGATGGCGCTGAACTAGAATGTGATAGCCTATTCCTCGAGGAGGCCACCTCACCTCCCTGCACACTCTCAAAGGAATTGGTGCTGAGGGCGACAACCGATGTGGGAGGTCTGATACTAGTTGCCGCAGCGGTGGAGTGAGAGGTGACCAGCGAGCTGACAACCGATGGGGGAGTTGTCCCCGTGGTGGTGGAGAGGGTGGTGACCAGCAGCGTGGAGTCCAGTGACCACCTCACCTCCCTGCACACACCCTCATCTTCATGGATGGTGTGTGCATCGACTGATGGTGGAGGTCCGCTGCCAATACCAACAGCGGTGGAGAGGTATATGACCGTCTTGGTGGTTACTGACGAGGGGGAGCAGCAGCTTGTCCCCACGGTGATGGAGAGGGAGGCGACCAGTGGCGATCTCTTGAGCACCAGCGGCATCTGTTTCAGCTGGTTGGGGAGTGGCGACCAGAGGAGATGCAGGGGCATGGGAGATGGAATTGAATTGGTGGGGGACTGTGTGAAGTGAAAGGGGAGAGGCGTGGAGGAGGTTTCGCTGGTGGATCAATTGCCGGAGCTGCGATGTCGGCGGCGGTAGCGGGGAAACCCTAGACAGGTTGCCCCCGTGCCGCTGCATGGGACCGAGTGACCATCCCACACACAGCTCGTTTCAGTATCAGCACAAAATGAGTCCAACATTATATGTACAATTTCATAATTTTATCAACTGAAGATAATAGTTGCCCGTTCCGGAGTGAAATGTGTGCTATTTCAACGCATCAAGATATCACAATCTTTCATCCAGCAATTTGCCAATATTGCACTTTTCGTAAACCCACTAGCCATGGAATAAAAAACTGCTTGTTATGGAAGACAGGGTCAACTTTACAATATGTTATTAGCATTTTAATTTAAGACAGCCTAAAATACCCAAACATTTTGGTATAAAACTTAAATATAATTTCCCTATTATCATAGTACCCAAACATTTTAATTTGAAGGGCAGGCCTGGTGCAGTGGTGAGAGCTGTCTCACTGAGTCATCAGGTCGTGGGTTCGAAGCAGCCTCTCCATAGATTTTGCGGGGGAAAGGCTTGTCTCGGTTTATCCCTTCCCTAGACCCCACTCATGTGGGAGCCTCCGGCACTGGGTCTGCCCTTTATCATAGTACCTTATCTCGAGTTGTGGGCAGTACTTGGTTGGATAAAGCTAATTTTATGATATGACTAACTGTGATTTTGTAACAAGTATGTGGGATAGACTGGATTTGAAGTTACCAGGATAATTCGATCTGTGAACCGCCTCCCAATAATTTTGGCCGTACCTTTTCTTACATCTAGCTGAATAGGTTTAAACTTTGAGTTGGTTGTTTTTGTCACGCTTCCCTGATTTGTCGACAATAATATGTTAAATAGATGTACCATGATTTTTTATGCGATTACTTTTAAGAGCGTTTTCTGTATTCTCTAACTTGCTTTTAGTTTTTGCTATGCAGTATGCTCATCGGGCATGTGTACAACGATGGTGCAATGAGAAAGGAGATGTAACATGTGAAATATGTCATGAGGTGATTTAAGTTATGAACAACTAATTGTTATGCCATTTTCACGGATGTCATTTAATACTAAATTGTGTTGAAAAATACTATCTGCAGCCTTATGAACATGGGTACACTGCACCTCCGAGAGCTCATCCTGATGAAACTACCATTGATATAACGTAGGGCATAATGCCCTTTTTATTCTTAAGTTGTTCTATACTCATGTAATAAATTTTCTTCTAACTGTTTGTCATCACCTCTCATTTCTCCGTGGTTCCTAGTGGTGGGTGGACTATTACTGGTACTGCATTTGACTTATGCGTGATCCTAGGATACTTGCAGTGGCACAAAACCACATCATGGAAGCTGAATATGATGATTATTCTGCCACAAATGCCAGCACTGCTGCCTTTTGCCGCTCTGCTGCTCTTGTTGTGAGTAACTACAAAACAGATGTATTTATATTGTTGCCACTTAAAACAACAGGGTTTTCTTATTTATATGTAACATCCAATTTACCCTTTTTTATGTTCAGTTAATGGCTCTCTTATTGTTGAGACACGCACTGACTCTAACTGATGAAGATGACTACTTACACTTCAGCAATGTTTTCAGTAAGTGAAATAATCATCTTGAAAATATATACAGTTCATATCATATATTAACATTTGGTATTTTGATGGTTTGCAATTGATAGCTTTTTCTATTATGTGCATATGCTTGGGTTTCCTGCTACCATTCTACATTATGGCTTGGGCAATTAGTATCTTACAGCACCGCAGGCAGAGACAGGTCAGTTACAATTTCTAAAGTGAATATCTGCATCTTCCTTTTCTTATTTTTTAGAAGGTTTTGGGAACACCTAACATATTCCTTGCCATACTCTAAATGCATTGAAATTGAGTTGACATTTAATACCCCCTCCATTCCAAATACATTGCTTTTATTATGCATCTAGACATAGTGTATATCTAAATACATAGCAAAAAATATGTATCTAGAAAAGCCAAAACGTCTTATAATTTGGAATAGAGGAGTACTTTACTAGTTTGAATTTGACTTGTCACTTGTCATGCACATCATGAAAATCAAGATCAGGAACTAAGCTATGCAACCTAATCAGTCTTTACTACTTCCTCCGTTCTAAATTATAAGTCGCTTTGACTTTTTTGGTTCATCTATTTTGCTATGTATCTTGACATATTATTATATCTTGATGCATAGCAAAATGGATGTACCAAAAAAGTCAAAGCGACTTATAATTTGGAACGGAGGGAGTACTGATTATAATTGACTAAACATGGTTGAAATTGAAACTGACAGTTGTGACCTGTGCGACCAAAAAATTGGTAAACTGATTTGATGAAAATTCAGTTTTAGAATGAAAATCTGCATCGCCTTTTGTGCTTCCTTGTTAATTTGGCTATTTGCTGCATCCAGTGCAGCTCTAGGGCCTTCTGTAAATCCCTAATTGCCTATTGTGTCTGTCCAGGAGGCAGCTGCTCTTGCTGCAACGGAGGTGGCATTCATCCTGCAGTCGGGGCAAGGAAGGGGAGTGCACTTCACCATCGCACCAGACTCCCCGGCCACACCACAGCATGAACCACCGCAGCCATAATTATATCTATCTATGGAGTGGCTGGCTGCGGCAGCGGGCCGCAGATCGCTTATTTCGATAGGTTCCCCAAGGATTTCTTTATGGCTGCTGTCTAGTGCAAAACCAGATAATTTCTGCCCAAGTTTCCTGTCATCAATGTACTTGAGTGTGAAGATGCGTGTTCTGCGAGTTGGCCAGTGCATTTTGCATGTCGGCCCGGGAGTAATGGGGTGTGTGTGTATATAACTTAACAGACATCTGGGTTGTATGATCTACACAATTGTCCAAAATTGAATTCTGATCGCCCGAATTGTCAAAATTTTATAAAGTCTGTTTGAGGTGGTGTCTGAAAGTCAGCCAGAGCTGCCCATCTAGGAGAGCGGAACATGGTGGATCGGGAGAAGAATGTAGCAAGGGAAAACATGTCGCGCGCGCTATAAAATACAATATTGTTTTTGTTCACACAATGTTCCCTCCGCTTGATCCTCGGCCCCATACGGCCTATGAGCGGTCGTCTTCAACTTCTGGCCGTCAGGCGGCAAGGAACCACCGATGGTGATGGCGAGTGAGCAAGGCAACAAGGTGGCAGGACGTTGGCTATTGGTGACGAAGTTCGGGGCGTCATTGGAGAAACCAGGCACAGAGCTTGAAGGTGATTGATGTGAGTAACGAGACGAAGACGTAGGCCACATCGTGTTCGTGTAGAACGAAGCGGAAAACTTGCATTCGATCTGTAGCCAACAGTGTTTTTCTTCCTCGTTACAGTTATTGCGACTTATGCATCAAATACTATGCAAAGAAAGTTGAACTGAAAGCATGGTCACGAGATGCCATTCTCACATTTGCATTTTGCAGGGAATTAGGTCCGAAAGGTACCATTGCATATGTAGTTGGATGGGGAACATAGCAACTTTACAGGCTGTTTCATGTTTTCTTTTTACCTCACCATGATTTTGCTTAAGTAAAGGCTCAGTCAAAATCCGGGGAGCATTCAACATCATCCCCTTCACGTGCCTGACCGAAGGAACTGTAAGCCAGGTGATCACCCTTCTTCACCTTGCCACTCAGAATGCTCTCCATGTCCTTGTCATCATGCTGCAGCCGTCCGGTTACCTCCAGGCACAGACCATTCTTGGCACGTCTCTTGCTCTGTTTTGCTCGGTCGGTTTTGGCTTAACTGGACCTGTTTCGACAAACACCGGTTGCTCTCTGATTGTGGGGTTGGGCTGTATGCGGTGGCTCTGATCCTTCTCTTCAGACGGTCGCATGATCGGGTGCTCTGTTTCCAGCTCAGTAGTTCCATCCTTGTTCAAAATCACCTGAAAAAAATATTTTCAAATTACGTCTACATCCAAATGTTCTGCCAGAGCTTCTAGACAAAAATTCAACTAAGCACAGATATTTTGAGGTTAGGTTGGAAGAAAACAGAGGTTGCAAAGTACTGCTGTCCAGCAGGAACAACTAGTTACCTTACGGCCCACCAAATCAAATGTAACAATCACTTTCTCCTTTTGGCTTTTAGCTGCTTCCTCAGCTTCCTCTTGCTGCTGCTTTAGGACTGACCTCTCCTGGAGTGTGAAAAATGGGTAGCTACAGTTAGCATTTTTGAATGTATCTCAAATGGGACATGTCTATATCTAAAAAAACGCACAATAACTTCCTGTCTTGTCCTTGAAGTTACATGTTCTTACATTTTTTTAGGAGAACAAGTATGAGTTCGCTATGGAAACAAAGCTAGCTCTGGAAATCATTAAAACTAACTAGAAGGAATACTCTGCCATTATAAATCTTATAATAAAGTAATTCTCATATCAGGATTCGATGTACTTGCGATAATATATCAAGCTCTAGGTATGAAATGTCCGTAGGCGTTAAGGCTTAGCATAGACATAACAAAGAAAAAAAATCAATGGGTGGAGGCGTGGAGCAGAATATGAGCATGTATGATCCACAAGGGATGGAATAGAACTATCAAGTACAGAGAATCGAATGTGGCTTACCTTTGAAGACAGCCAACTGTTTCCTTCCATTTCATAATAGTCACTTTGGTCATCATAAACTTTAGTCCTTGCTGCAGCATTTCTATCATAGTCAACAAGCCTCTTTGCATAAGCTTCAGCTGCAGCTTCTGCTTCTGAAAGAGGTAGCCCGGCATCACTTAAACCAGCATAAGTGCTACCTTCCTTCAAGACAAGTGCACCACAGAAACTACACGGTCCCTCGCCCTCTTGTTCGCACACAATCTTGCCACATGATAAGCAGTTGCTGACAAGGTTATGTTGTCGTGCTTGGCATGAACAAGGTTTCCCCTGCTTGAAGACAATAGAACCTTTTGCTGCCTCAGCGAGGGAAATAGCCTTTGCTCCTTTCTTTTTTGAACCTCTCTTGGAAGGAAGTTGTGATTCTGCAGTTTCTGATTGACTCTTGGAACTCTGACTAGAAGAAGATGCTGAATCTTTTTGCGTGCGTGTTTGTTTCTTTGTCTGTGTAGTTGCTGCATCAGCCGATGGCTTAACATAAGGCTGAAGGTTAGATGATTGAAAGCTCTCAGTTCCATTTGAGGAACCAATGTGACCCCTCCTCCTCAAGTACTCTTGAATGATGTCCTGAGCAGCTTCTTTTCCAATAAAATTCTGCACCATTAAAAAGTACAAACGATGATAAATGTTTATGTCAACTAAGCTACAGTGGTCTCAACATTTGTGCCTGATGTAAATATGACGTGACAAGAAAACAAGTGGTACAAAACACATACAACAAAACAAAAGAATTAATGGAAGGAGAGACTGAGCAACATCGGTACTAATGAAGTAATGCAAACTGGCCAACTGAGGAACTTAGTTTCAAGAAAAAGATAAATGTCTGCTCAATTATTTGCCAACCTAAGGAACAGGGGGGGCCTTGGCATCCAGAACCTAGAAATCCAAAATAAATGTCTGCTCAGTAAATGGTTGTTCAAGCTTTTGAATGAAGATGGTATTTGGCAAAACTTATTAGAAATAAGTATATTAAAAATAAGACTTTATCTCAAGTGACTAAGAAACCGGAGGACTCTCACTTCTGGATGGGTCTTATGTGGGTAAAGAGCAGTTTCTGAGATTAGGAAGATTCAAGGTCTCGGATGGCTCCCAAATCAGGTTTTAGGAGAATCGTTGGCTAGGGGAGCTCCTTTGAAAGAGGTTTATCCATCCCTATACAATATTGCCCGCAGGAAGCAGTCTACAGTGGCTGAGGTTCTACGGTCGGTACCAATTAACATCACCTTCAGAAGAGCGTTAGTGGGAAACAAGTTGTTGGATTGGCAGGACCTAATTGGTAGGATTGCGAGTATTAATTTACAGGATGGCAGGGACTCCTTTTGCTGGGACTTGCATTCTAGTGGAATGTTCTCGGTCAAATCCATGTATGCGTACCTAATAAACAATGGCCTCAAAGTCTCTCAGGACATTTGGCGTCTTAGAATTCCATTAAAAGTTAAGATCTTTATATGGTTTCTAAGGAGAGGGGTAATTCTAACAAAGGATAATTTAGCTAAACGAAATTGGAGGGGAAACCGAAATTGTTGTTATTGCTCTAAACTAGAGAGTATTCAACATTTGTTTTTCAATTGTGTGATGGCCAAGGCCTTGTGGTGTGCTATCCATATGGTGCTTGGTTTAAAACCACCAACGAGTACACGAAATATTTTTGGTGCTTGGCACAAACAAAGTGGGAGAGAATTTAGAAGCTTGTTGCTTATAGGAGCTGCTGCATTTTGCTGGTCGCTTTGGCTTACAAGAAATGAATTGGTATTTGACAAATGCAGTCCAAAATCTATTTTGCAGGTCGTGTTCAGAGCTACACACTGGCTGCGGCAGTGGGGGCTGTTACAAAGGAGTGAAGACATGAAGAAGTTTATTGTCCAAGGATGCCAGAAGCTAGAGACTGTGGCTCTGCAGTGCTCTGCTTTCTTCAGATGGCCTTATGCTCTTAGACTTAGTGTTTAGTTTTTGGTTAAAAACTGGTTTTGTGCTGCCGTCGATGTTTTGGTCAGCTGGTATGTTGATGTTCTTCTGTATTGAACTCGTGGCCTGATTCCTTCTCGAAGGAAGAAGCCGGTTGTTTAATCTACCATTATCTAAAAAGAAAAAGATAAATGAGAAAGAAAGGGGAAAAAAATGCTAAGGGCACAAATTAACATGGCCTCATGGGTATTTGGGCTGAGCGTGTGTAGTAGTAGTTCACCCTTTCAACTTCGAGATGAACGTAAAGAGACATATAACATATTACACTGAGAAACATGTTGATTTTGAAGAGAATAATAATACACACGTGCCAATCAGAGAAATGACAAACAGCACATGATTTTGCATCAGCATGAGAAGGCAATGGAAAAATGGCAGTGGAAATAGTAATCTACCTCCATATCAAGCCTTAAAGAAACCAGATAGTTTTGACCAAAATTCACAATGAGTAACAGACCATGATCAACATCTCGTTATGCCCTGGACACTACATGACACCCAATGGCGCTTACAATACTGCATTAGGATATATAAATTTCACTCATGACGGGACATTTAATTGATGCACTTGAATTTTGTACCCATTATAGAAAATTAGACTCCCAGTAACATGAAGCTGAGGCACTTCAGATCAATCAATCAACTCAAACCCCATCAGCACAGCAGTCTGGGAGGGATGCAGTGCAGCAAACATCCTAGACAATCACAATAAACTGGCGATCATGCTATTTAAAACTACTTTTTTCTTCAGCAAGCTCAAATCAAGCAAACCCTAATCCGAGAACGACATAGTACCGGCGATCCGATCAGGCCGTTGCGCCAGGTACGAGCACTCTAGACAAACTCCGATCAGAATGACCACGCCAGAGTAGTAAGCGCCCAATACACAAGCCGTCCTAATGGATGGACACTGGCGAACGAACCTCGAGATAGTTGGTGGCGTCGGAGGGAGGCGCGAGCTCGCAGAAGGACACGAGGCCCGAGATGAGATCCGAGTCGAACTCCAGCGAGCTGCCCTTACGTTCCCGAAGTCCCTGCAGGGCGCCCTTCAGCCACTCGCCGGACGTGCTCGCTGACGTCGCCATCGCCGCCGCCGCCAACACGAGGGCCGGGAAAGAAGGGTTAACTTCTTTTTTGCTATTCGGACTCTCGATCTATAGGATATTACACGAATAGCCTTTACAACTTCTATTTTTCACCTTGTAATGTGCGTGATTTTCGAAAGACTCCTCAATCTTATCCCCGCAAAGCCGCGAGACAGACTTCACCGTGCGTGGTACGCGGCTTCTCTTCACCTCGGTGAGCAGAGCAGAGAGAGCAGAAGGCATGTTTCCGATGGCGTCGTCGTCGCCGCCGCTCTCACTTATCCTCCTCCGGCCGCTCCCGTGCAGACCCGTCCTCCTCTCGAGGCAAAGGAAACCATCCCCAACTGTCCGCGTAGAAGCAAGGTCTGAGCAGCGGTTGCAGCGGCGGCCGGTGACCGGCCGGTGGAGGAGGAGCTGGAGGAGGGGCGGAGGCTTCGCGTGTTTCTCCAACAATGCCAAGAACAAGACGCCCTCGCCTTCAGATAAGGTGATGCTCAAACGTTCCATTTCTTTATAACCTCCTGAATTGAACACACAACAAGTACATGCTCCGGTAGTAAATAACAAAGCAGGGAATTATGGATGCAGAATGTTAAGTGCATAATTTAGCTTCCGGAACTAGCTTGGAAAATATATTGTTTAAATGGATGCACCAGAGTAAGCGTTCAGGAATCCATATAAGACTATAAGAGCAATGTGTGTAGTTGAATCTTGGACATTTCTGGAGTTTAAATGCATTTCGCCTATTCCAACTTTCATCCTGTTTTTGTGGTGATTGGCGTGGATCTTGTGACATTATCTGGGCCTAAGCAGAGTTCGGACGAGTGGGCGATCGTTCGACGATGGGATGTGCCATGGGAGTGGCAAACCGTTGTGCTCAGCATGGTAGGCTGTGGAGTAAGGTAAGCCATCACCTTTGCACACCAGGTATTTGAATTTTATGTTGTATACAGTGAGCTTCGCAAGTTTGATTTTACTGTACAGGTGTATTGAATAAAGCATTCTGAGTGTTCTTTAGACAGCTTTGTTCTGACAGGATTGGTTGAGCAATCGGCTTTGCAATACCTGGGATTTAAAGCTGTGGAGGCAACTATAGATGAGAAGGCAGAAATACTCTTTTTTGGGCAACTGTATGATACATGTTTTTATGCTTATGCGCACGATACCTTTAAATTCCCTTGATGGCAAGCTGATTATCTTCCACCAATAAATGACATCACAAATTGCCAAAAGACTTACATTTTGCTTTTGTACTGTTCTGTGCAGGAGCGTGACAGTAGTAGTGCTTGGCGTTATATTTGGCATCACCAACACTTTTCGACCATTCCCAGATGATGTGTTTCGTTATGGTCAGGACTCAGTCTTGTTACCTTGGTCACTGAATAAAGTTGTTTTCATGCAAGTAGAGAACCATTTTTTATCATGGAAGCTATTTTGTCAGGTGGAAAGTATAGTGTGATATTTTTATGGAACATGAATTGCTTTCTAAATTGTAATTAACAGTCTACATTTATTCTCTTTTTCATGGGTGATGCTTCTCAAAGTTTAATACCTGACGAATAGTTGCTTTTATAACATCTTTATCAAAGAATACAATTATATTTATACAAGAATGTTGTTGAACTTTCAGATATTAATGAACCATTCAAGCTGCAGAATGGATGGCTTTTGTGGGCTGGAGTTGGCCTCTTTGGAGCAATAATTTCTATTGCTTTAGCCGGAGCTGCTATGACTTATCTGAATGGTGAAACTCCGGAGAGAGAGGTCAGACAAATATTTGCTTTAGTAACTAGACCTTTCTGGTGCACTGCCATTTGTTGGTTATTATTTCTCACACTTTATTTGCCACCTCAATTCCATTCCAAACTCTTTGTCATTCAATTTATTTAGAACAAAAATAAGTTATGTGTTGAATCGCACATTTTTTCATATTTTGTTTGACTTCTTAGTGTATGTGGAACGTTCAGTTCTTCTTGTAATTCATTAGTTTTTTGAGGCATTGTGATTTACTATTATGTACTCATGAAAATGTTCCTTTCATTGACTCAGACTGATTCACTAGTCCTTTTGTTGCCCCTGATTGGCTCATCCACTACCAGGTATCATGTGTCCTGCCTTTGTGTTTTAGTGGATTAATGCCTGTTACCAGGAAACCCAAACTTGATCTTGTTTATTTTCTGTTGCTAGCACTGCATTTTTGGTGGGAATCACTGGAGTTCTAGCACCACTCCTCGAGGAGACTCTGTTTCGAGGATTTCTAATGGTGTCCTTGACTAAGTGGTAAATCCAAGTATATTTCCCTAGCACTTTCTTTTCTCTTCCTTGCATGTACAAACTTGGTGCATTACAAGTTTGCATGTTTCTGTATTCACCAGTTACCTCTGGGTACAGGTTTCCTACTCCAGTTTGTGTACTTGTCAGTGCTGCTGTATTTGCCCTTGCTCATCTGACTCCTGGACAATTTCCACAGCTGTTTATACTTGGTAATTCTCTATAGTTTATTCAGATATAACTAAATAGAAAACTATATGAATTCAATATTTGTTAAGGGTGCATTAGGGCACCCACAATGCAGAAACCATCATAGTTTTTATGTGCATTAATTACTCTGCCACCTAAGCATTTTGATGTTGTGGCAAGTGATTTAATGAGGAGAGAGAGGAGGAAATGGTCTTAATAAGAAACTATGTCTACACAGGAACCAATACATGAAGAGATGTGATAGGTAGATGAGGGAGAAAGAAGACGTGATTGGAGAAAAGATTATTCTGTAGAAACTATCCATTTGGAACATAGTTTCTATGTATAGTGTCTACGTAAATTAATAGACAGAGAAACTATATGTGGTTTCTAGCATTGGGACTGCCCTTAGTTGGTAGCCAATTTGGCCATATCCAAATGCACAACGCAGCATTTGTCTTGTTACATCATTTTGGGCTTTTTTCGATGTGTCATAATTGTGACCTTTTCACTGAAGAAAGAAGTTAAAATCTTCCTCAAATATATGACAGTCAGAGCTGCAAATTGTGGGCAAAAATACCACAGGCAGGCACAATGCCTAAATGCAGTTAAACCTGACATCCACAAAACCATACAGAATCACAACCATTGTCATATCCAATACATTGTCAATTACAGGAATTGCTAATTTGGTCATATAAGTTTTTGCCATGCCATCATTTGTGCGCATGTCATATGTATGGCCTGTTTTTAGAAGAAAGGAGTTAAAATTTGCTGCACGGATACTGAGATATGACAGCCATGGCTGCAAATTGTAGCCAAGGGGTTACAACCAGACAGTTACAATACAACATTTGCATATACAATCGGTTGTAATTACTGGAGTTGCTATTCTATTTGTATCAGTGTTTGGCATGCCATCGTCATTCAGTAACCTAGTTGAGTATTATGCAGGTGTTGCATTGGGGTTTTCATATGCTCAGACCCGCAATCTTCTAACTCCGATCACAATACATGCATTTTGGAACTCAGGAGTAATACTTCTGCTAACCTTTCTTCAGGTAGGTCTTGTCAATCTCTATGTGGCTACCAGTAACTTTCCTGGTGAAAATTCTCGAAATTATAAGTTGGCTAACATGCATAGAATTGCGCAAGAGTAGGAACATCTAGTTTCTGTTTTGAGTAGTAAGAGGTAAGCAATTCACAGTGTTTTTTCGACTGTTTTAGCTGCAAGGATATGATCTCAAGGAGCTCTTGGGAGCATCGTGAAGGTTTGAACAAACCAGGCACATTTTGTGCATAATATGATATCAAGGATATCTGTTGGTTATGTGCTCTTGCACACCTGATGGCAGCAAAACCACGTGAAAAAGAAATATGAGTCTTCAAGTTAGCTGATGCTTGCGTTCCCAGAAGTGTTACGAGGCATCACTAGTCTGTAAAGCTGTTTATACAGTATAAGATGGCAGGTTGACCTTAATGTAAGAACACAGCTGCCCTTTTTGAGAGTGTTTCTTACAACTGGAGTACTCAATTAAATTGTACTGATATTGTTTATTAAAGAAAGGTGTAATGACAATTGACATCATGTTTTATGTGTACAAGTATGTGTGACGGAATCATTTATCCTCGCATATCTGGCTTTCTATAGTGTAGATAAGATACCATTAGGAAACAATAAAATAAAATAAAAATCGATAAATATACTTATCTGCTTTGTGTTGTGTTAGATGGGCGTATGCACATGCTACTGGTTTGTGCATCGAATCAATAGAAAATATTTGAATGGCAAGATCCCTAGAATTACTCTAAAGTTTTATCATTGTTTATTAAACTTTTTCATATTTTTGCCACTCTTGATGTGTAACGAATTTTAACTTCACAAGTCAAATGTGAGTTTCACAAAGGAAATCTACAGTCATTTTTTACCACAATTTGATCGACAGACGGAAACGTCCAGGAATTGCAGTATATAGTATACTCCACTAACCCCCAAGAGCGTATCAGTTCTGCTAAGAGTAGTGGTTTTTTTTCCCTGTATAAGAGAGCCAATGCGAAGTGCTGACTAACATGGGGACAGTCGGACAGGGCTCTAGCGTCTACTACCTCCAATCTCAATATAGGTCTGATTAGTTTCTTACAGAGGTCACTAGCATGGCTATGAACATGGTGGAACTGAGGATTTTTCGCTGTTTTTTCCTTGGATCATCTGTGTGAATGGAGGGGGCCGCAATAACGACATCAAGATCCGTTGATTGTTAATTGTTCTCTTCTTGATACATGATTGATCTGCAGTCTGGTTTTGGTTGTCCTATCTAGTAATTTCATTCAAGGAACAAATGAAGTTAGGCGTCGCTTTCTGGCCAGTCCATTTCCATCCTGTTACAGTCATGACAAGATGCATGTAGGATCTGTAATTGCCGTGAATTGTGAGATGCAAGGTCAGTATGTGTAAATGGGCAAAGAAATGAAATGATAGGGAAGTATGAAGCCTGCTCCCTTGTCGGATGGACTAGATAGTAACCATGTTGTAGTTTCTTGTGAATGTATCTGAGTTATTATCAGGGTCACCATGTAAACGAGATGGAAGCCACACATTTCATCAGAAATATTTCTTTCAAAAAAAAATCATCAGAGATACGATGCCGAGAAACTTATATGGACAAAATAAAGTCCCCAGACCCCTGCTGCACACCGTGCACAGCACAGGAAAGGTGAGATGTAGCATGTGTGAATGTGTCTATTTGTTGCCTTGTTGGATTTCAGTTTTCAGATATTCAACGAATGTCATTGACTAGTTCCTAATAAATGCATTTCAATTTGAAATATTTCATACTGTAGGGGGCACAGGAGCTTCCGATATGAAATATTGAGTGGGATTTGTTTGCATCGGTTGAAGATAAAAGAAAATTCTAAAGCGCTTTCAAGGGTTAAGAAATCGTATGATAAATTTGTCTTGCGACGGCATGAGGAATGAATGGTGCGTATTGTATTCGTTCATCTCAATTCGTAATGCTATTTTGTTTTGTGAAGAACTATAACATTGTATTCTCATGTAGAACTATAACATTTTTATCTAAAATGGTATATGTTTTGCTTGAGCACTTTGAATTGATATCATCAATTGTGCTCTTTGTTATATCTATTAATGTACGGCTAGTAAGATTTTTAGCCTTAAATTATTTAGCCTCCTCCTTGTCCTGTTTCTGTATTTAAAAGAAACTCGATCCACAATGCCGGTACTTAAATGCTGTTCGTGCATAATTCTCTAGACAGCAGATTAGAAGGCGATGAGCCCATGAATCACATAAAACTAAACATTTGAAACTAATCGTACGTATTAGCTTCACACTCAGCTGGTGTGAGCTGGTAAATTAGAAATCTAGATTAGGAGTATATTTAATCAAACAGTAGCGTATATGACATCAGAAGCACAGGTACATTGCACATATGTTCTATATTACAATAATAAAGCAATGAGCGACATAGAGGTGCATGCAAATTATGACGGCAGACAAAGCTCATATGTACACCCCACTATATATAAACAAATCTATTAGACAAGCAGTTTCACACAGGGCATGCAAGGTTGCTAGACATACTGAAAGCAAGCACACATATATATTGCCGCAATCTCCTCTGTCGTCCTAGAGTAGCTCTTGATACCTTCACCACGTACCGAATAACATGGATGTCTTCATCTGAGGTAGCTCTTGATGACGAAGCGCTCGTGGACGAAGGTGAAAGCTGGAGGCAAGGCTGGGCTTGTATATACTGCGGTGGTGGTGCGCACCGTCACCTTGGTCGTCCCAGAGTAGCTTCGCCCACCAGGCCTGCTCCCCACTCACCTTCACGGCCTTGTCTGGTTGTTGGTGGAGGCGAGGGAGACGACGCAAGCTCCAGCACCCACGGACCTGGAACTCCTCCCACTTGGGCGCGGTGAGGATGGCGTCGCCGACGTAGAGATGCTCCAGCAGTGGCAACTCGTGGAGGCGTATCTTTTGGAGGCAAGGGAGCTGGTAGTGACGAGGAGAAGAATGATGGCCATTGTTGTAAAATATTGCCTTCAGGTTGTAGCAGAAGAGGATGTCAAGCGTCACGAGGCTTGGCAGCTCACAGTCTCTTGGCATGAAGCCCTCCAACCTCGGGCAGTGCTCCAGACGGACGTTCTTGAGTGCACGGAAGGTAGCACCACTGCCAGATGGCCTGTAGAAATGGGTGAGACTTTTGATATAGGAGACCCATGCATTCTTCAGATTGTTCCCTAGATATGTCGCCACCTCAAATACATTCACCATGCGATGGCACCACACCTGAGCTGGCATTCCTCCAGATCATCGAAATTACTCAGGTGGTCGCTGAGGCAGGTGACGTGAGTATCATCCATCATGCAGACCGACTTGGTGACCTCTAGAAGATGTGTTAGACCAGCGGGATACCGATCCACTGCTGAGATCTCCACATGACGCTCGGTCACTCGGAAGGGAAGCATGTCATCCATTGACACCATAGAGACTCCCCTATAAACTTTCTTTGGATCGACTAGAGTAGATCTAGGCGGATGAACTCATAGATCCATGAAACACATGCACATTTATACCTATAACACTACACCGAGAGGGAGATAGGGGAGAGAGAGCTGGTGATGAACCTGAGCCTCCAGATGATGTCGCGGCTGTGCTAGCCATCGCGGGTTCGGTGATGGAGGCAGCACACGGGCAGCGACGGGTGGAGTAGAGGTTGCACGGACGTCGATGCAGTACGGTCGGGCGTAGCAGTGGCGACGGCGAGGATCAGCGGAGCTTCCCGTCGCTGGCTGCGCGCCCTCTCGAGATCGGTCTAGGGTTTGTCGGTAGGGTTTGCGGCTCACGGCGAACCTCGTACATTGAGCCGCCGGCCCCAACCTCTTTATATAGCGCAGTGCGACGGGGGCCCACCAACCATGTAGGGTTGGGCGCCCCCGATCAGGGCGCGAGACCAAGGCCCAATAGGCCGTTGGGCTTATTAGTCAGGAGATCAATCTAACATTCTCCCCCTTGATCTCACTATTACTTTTATCTTTAAACTTTAAACTTCAATCCTTTTATCCTTACTCATTTCTTCACAGATGATGCATAGAGCATGTCTCATCGTCACGGTCAATCGCCGATAGATTTAACAGCTACGATGCACGCGTCTACGATCCGAAATAGTTACTTTAACTTTTGGGCCCTTTATAGTCCGAGTCATAGGCTTTCCCTTAAACCCATGCCGGCTACATGTTCTCTGAACACGTTGGTGATAAGTCTTTTAATAAGCGGATCCGCGAGCATCTTTTCGGTACTTATATGCTCAAGACTTATCATTTGATCCCGGACTTTATCCTTCACAACATAATACTTTATGTCAATGTGTTTGGCAGCACCACTTGACCTATTGTTGTGAGCATCTTTATCTTCTTTGGATTATTATCGCGATATAACCTCGATGGTCTATTGATGTCGTCAACCACCTTCAAACCGGGTATGAACTTCTTTAGCCGTTCACACCGCCGTTGCCTCATAACATGCTACAAACTCGGCATACATTGTGGACGATGTAGTGACGGTTTGCTTTGAGCTTTTCCATGAAATAGCTCCCCTGCGAGAGTAAACACATATCCGGATGTGGATTTTCTATTATCTCCCGCATAGTCGAAATCTGAATATCCCACTATATGGAGTGAATCGGATCTTCTATACGTCATCATGAGGCCTTTCGTTCCTTGCAAATAACGCAAGACTTTCTTTACCAATTTCGAAAGTTTCTATTCCAGATTGCTCTGGAATCGCCAAAATAACCCGATAACAAATGCCAAGTCGTATGCGTACACACACTTGAGCATATTGCAAGTTTCCGACAATTGAAGCATATGGAACCACTTTCATTTGATCGATCTCATATTGGTTCCCGGGGCATTGAAAATCCCCATATCTCGTAAGCCCTTGACTATAGGAGCGGTGAGGACTACATTTGTGCATCTTGAATTTCTTTAAGACTTTTTCTATGTATGCCTTTTGTGACAGTCCCTAATACCCTTTACTTCTATCTCGGTGAATCTCGATCCCTAGAACGAACGAAGCTTCACCAACATCTTTCATATCAAACTTTGAGGACAAAACTTCTTTGTTTCCGATAGTAGACCCACATCACTACTAGCAAGTAAGATATCATCCACATACAGGACAAGGAAGATAAACTTCCCATTCTTAAACTTTGCGTGAGACACAATTGTCCTCAACATTATCTTTAAACCCAAAATTCTTTATTATTCGATCAAACTTCAAGTACCACTGTCTTGAAGCTTGTTTTAATCCATAAATGGATTTCTTTAGGCGGCATCCCAAACGTTCTTTTCCTTCTATGACAAAACCTTTTGGTTGTGCCATGTAAACATTTTCTTCTAAGTCTCCGTTGAGAAATGCCGTCTTTACATCCATCTGATGTAATTCCAAATCGTAATGTGCCACTAATGCCATTATGATTCTGAAGGAATCCTTACACGAGACTGGAGAAAAAGTCTCATTGTAATCAATCCCTTCTCTTTGTGTAAAGCCTTTTGCCACAAGTCGGGCTTTATATCTTTCTATATTCCCTTGAGAGTCAAGTTTTGTTTTGTAGACCCATTTACAGCCTACTGTTTTGGGCTCCTTTAGGAATTATCTCCAAATCCCAAACTTTATTTGCATTCATTGATCTCATCTCATCTTCCATGGCCTCAAGCCACTTTGATGAATGATCACTTTTCATGGCTCTTCAAATGAGGTGGGATCATCCCCCATTTGAAATTCTTCAGTGTTGTACACTTCATAATCAGCAGAAATAGCTGATTTTCTAACTCTTTGAGACCTTCTAGGGGCCTCCTCAATTGCACATTTTTTCTGCTTGAGGCTGTTGTTGCTCCCCCCCTCATGTGTGGCAATAGGTTCTATAGGATCTGAGCCACAGTTCCTCATCATCATTCATTGTTGCCACAGTAGGATAACAACAGTCTTTGGCACCACGTTGTCTTGTACTTGTTGGTGCGACAACAGTAGTAGTGAGAAAAATGGCTCATGAATGATCGGAGTGGGTGCATACACCGCTTCTCTTCAAGGTCAATTTCTCGAGCTACCATGCTCCCCTAATCATTTCATCCTCTAGGAAGACAGCATGTCTCGTTTCCACAAACTTTGTATATCTCATTAGGGGCAAGAGAAACGAAAACCTTTTGACTTTTCTGGGTAGCCAATGAAATGGCAACTCACCGCTTTGGGATCTAGCTTCCCAATGTTTGGGTTAAAAACTTTAGCCTCAATGAGGCTCCCCCCACACGCAAGTGGTTAAGTGAGGGTACTCTTCCTATCCACAACTCATACGGTGTTTTGGGCACCGACTTACTTGGTACTCTATTGAGAATATGAATGGCGGTTTTTAACGCCTCCATCCACAGACTCGTGGGTAAAGTGGAGTAACTTATCATACTACGCACCATATCCATCAAGGTACGGTTACGCCTTTCAGCTACTCCATTCTGCTGAGGTTCGCCCGGTGTTGAATACTGGGCGACTATACCATTCTCCTGTAAGAACCTTGCAAAAGGTCCAGGAACTTGTCCATATGGGGTATGCCGACCGTAGTACTCTCCTCCACGGTCAGACCTGACTATCTTAATCTTTAAATCATGCTGATTTTCAACTTCTGCTTTAAATATTTTAAATTTATCCAACGCTTATGTTCTTTCTTTAATTGGATAAATGTAGCCAAACCGAGAGTAATCGTCTGTGAATGTTATGAATGAATCATAACCATCCACACTTTTTACAGGAAAAGGACCACATATGTCTGTGTGAATAATCTGTAGAATTCCTGCGCTTCGTTTGGCATCTTTCTTAATTTTCTTTACATACTTTCCTTTTATGCAATCTCTACATTGTTCTAACTCTGAGAGCTCTAATGGAGGAAGAATATCATTCTTAACTAGTCTTTCTATTCTCCCCCTCGAAATATGGCCTAAACGACAGTGCCATAATTTCGACAACGCATCTTGAGCTCTCTTTCGTTTTCTGTTTCCATTGTTCGATGAGGATACATTTTCATTCACATCACATACGGAATTAACATTTTCACGAAGTGATAACAAATAAAGCTCGTCTTGTCGGAAGGCAAGACCAATACATTTATTATTAAACAATATCTGACATTTGCCATTTCCAAAATGGCAATCATAACCATCATGGTCCAACTTTGAAACACTAATCAAATTTCTTTGCAAAGAAGGTACATAAAGAACATCTCTAAGAATAATTATGAAGCCATCAGCAAGCTCTAACGGAAGATCACCAACGGCCTCAACATCTGCTTGTTCTCCATTTGCGACTTTAATGAAACTTTCGCTTCTTTGCAAAGTTCTCATCGAACGGAATCCCTGTAATGAATTAGCAACATGAATAGTTGCACCTGAATCAATCCACCAAGTAGATTTTGAAAACTTTACATACAAGGATTCATTTACGAACGTAATAATGTTCTCACCTTTATTCTTCATAATCATCTTTAAGAAATCGGGACAATTCTTTTATAATGTCCTGTCTTCTTGTAGTGGAGACACCGGTCTTTAGCCACTTTGGAATTGCCGGTTACGAGATCTGTTGCATGGGACCTTTTCCGATGATTTGGAGGAAGAACTGTTATTATAGTTCTTTTCTTATCTTTTAGGTAGTTGATGAGAACCACCTTGTGAAACTTTTATTCTTTCCTCCTCCTGCACACACATGGCTATGAGCTTTTCCAAATCCCATTTTTCGAGTCAGTATGTTGTAATTAACAACAAATGTGTCAAATTCTTTGGGCAAAGAAGCAAAAATCAAATGAATAAGAAACTCATCCTTGAGTGCCAAATCCATTGGTTTGAGCTTAGATGCCGATTGCTCATTCTCGATATGTGCTCTCTAATGCCACTTGCCGCCACCAGTAGTACCTTTTTTCAGACCAAATGCTTTGATCACTTGGTTGCATATAATCTTTAAAGAGCCAAAGAACCCACTCTTTATTCTCATCTAGGTACTCTGTGACCGTGTCACAGTCTGGAATTGAGCCCACTATAGCAGGCTCAATCGTGTTCTTTATCACTGCTAGACACTTCTTGTTGGCAGTGACCCATTTCCTATGCTCAAGGTCATAGGACATCTTTACGGGAGCAAAATCCCGCTCTCTGTTCTGCCATGCAGTATCAGTCTCATCTGTTTCCCTTACCGGTGCCTCAGGTTCTTTAGGGCACGGTGTGGTGACAACCCAGTCCACCTCAGCGAGGATAAAGGCCAGGTCTATCTTTTTCTTCCACTCAATATAGTTATCACCTTTTAGAGTGGGGATTTCTTTGATACAACTCATCAAGTTGTATCCTCCTGTAAACATAATTCAAATAGGGTGAGAACAGAAATAACAACAATAATTGCATGCCTTAGTTTAACGTTGGTCAAAATTAAAACATACAATTATTTTCTACACTAATTCTACATCACCGTTGGGCAGAAATAGAATTAATGTATGACAAAAACATTATAATATTGCCATTAATCAACGTTGGTCAGAATAACAACAATATTATAATCAATTTAAAACATATCCATTTTCAAAATTAAATTCTCCCGTTGGTTCGAATTTAATAATGAAAATTACATCTTTAAATACGCAGCGGAAACTTTAACATTTAATAATCTTTTCCTATTTTCCAGAAGCAAATTTACTATTTACTGAACAAAAAATATCGTTGGATAAATTTTGTACAGAAAATTATCATAAAAAATCAATTCAAATTGATCAACCTGTTTTCTGGAAAATAAGAAAACAAAAACTGTGACAATATCTGTTCATTTGACCATTTCGCCCACCAAAGACATCGCTGCCCACGGCTCTGCTCACTTGTAGCAGCATCAAAAATAAACGGCCCATGAGCCGCGGCCCATCCAGCCTTCAGCGCAGCCCAGCGCCACCACCGTCTTCTCTCTCTCCCAGCGCCAGGCCGCAACCTGGGCCTGGGCCGGGATTTCGGCCTTGTGCCCTATCCCGCCTGGGCTGCGGCGCTGGCCCAGTCGCCCGTGACCGTCCATCTCCATCCGACGGCTGCCCGCGCGTTTCGCCCGAACAAAACCGCCCGGCCTGCCCCTCTCCCTGAACCCTAGGTTCATTTCACTTCCTCTCCTTCTCTCTCACCCCGCAGCGCAGCTCTGAGAGACCCGCAGCAGCATCCGTCCTCAGTGGCCGAGGGAGAAGAAGGGCGGCACCGTCCAGCGCCCTCTCGCCGGCGTGCGTGCTCGCCCGAGGCTGAGCACGCCGCCGTCGAGGGGCCGCAGGGTGGTGCCCTGTTGCCGTGACCGCTTGGCGAGGTGCAGTGCGGATCTCGGCCCTGTCCCGCGCGCCGTTCGGGAGCGACGCCGCGGTCTCCTATCCGCGCGGTGGCGATGCTGCCGGCGGTGGGTAGAAGCCCAGGTAGGCTTCCTTTTAGGGTTAGGGTTTGGTTTTCCGATTTGAAATCGGTTCCTTTCCTTTTCTTTTCCCCCGCGCGTCGGCGTGCTCGACGGCGAGGTGACCGAGCCACCCTCTTCCCCTTTCTTTGATTCATTTGTTCGGATTTTAGCCCGATTTGACGATTAGGGTTAGGGTTAGGGTTGAGACGGCCACTGTTTTCTTTTCCCCGAATCACCTTCGGGTTTTAGGGTTCGTTCTTTGCATGAAAACCGAGCCCTTCTTCTTTTCTCAGATCCGACGGATCGAGTTAGGGTTCAACTGAACATCGGGTGACCCCTTTTCTGCTTAGATCCACACTGGATCTAATCAACTTTTCCTTTTCTAATCAGTACCCGTTCTAGATCTACGTGCTAATAGGCTCTGGTACCATTGTAAACTTTCTTTGGATCGACTAGAGTAGATCTAGGCGGATGAACTCATAGATCCATGAAACACATGCACATTTAGACCTATAACACTACACCGAGAGGGAGATAGGGGAGAGAGGGCTGGTGATGAACCTGAGCCTCCAGATGATGTCGCGGTTGTGCTAGCCATCGCGGGTTCGGTGATGGAGGCAGCACACGGGCAGCGACGGGTGGAGTAGAGGTTGCACGGACGTCGATGCAGTACGGTCGGGCGTAGCAGTGGCGACGGCGAGGATCAGCGGAGCTTCCCGTCGCTGGCTGCGCGCCCTCTCGAGATCGGTCTAGGGTTTGTCGGTGGGGTTTGCGGCTCACGGCGAACCTCGTACATTGAGCCGCCGGCCCCCACCTCTTTATATAGCGCAGTGCGACGGGGGCCCACCAACCATGTAGGGTTGGGCGCCCCCGATCAGGGCGCGAGACCAAGGCCCAATAGGCCGTTGGGCTTATTAGTCAGGAGATCAATCTAACATCCCCCTGTTAGATACTGATGGTTTACATCAGCATAGGTTGACTCAGATACCTGAAGCATGTTGTTGGTCACCATGTCATCTTCGTCATTGGTCTTCATAAATCTGGCCTTACATGATTTAACTTGAATGTAGAAAGACTTGAAAAGTTGTCCACTCCTTACTAAATTCACAGTGCTCTTGTTGAACCTATAAAACAATCTGGAATCGTTGGTGCTCACCACCTGAGCAACTTGTGGACTGGAATGAACTCCATTTCCCTCCAAGCTCTGATCCAAGCAAAACATATCTGGGAGTCGCTTCAGATCATGCCAAGGAAAGCGCCTTAGAGCAGGAACACCTATGAGAAGCAATCGTCCAAGCCGGGGTAGATTAAGGATGTCGATTGGGATCTCCTTGATACCTGTAGCAGAAAGATCAAGCTCCTCTAAAGCATCAAGCTCCTTGAGATTGTCCACAGACTCCAGCTTTCTACATCCATTAAAGGACAATCTCCTTATATAGGGTGCGGCAACCAATGAGAATGATCTCAGGGTAGGATGCCCTTCTAGTTTTAGCTCTTCCTCAGTTCGAAACTTGCAATTGTTAATTAGCTCAAATGATAGGAGCTCCTTCATGTTGTTAAACATCTCCCAGTAATGGAAAGATTTTATCCGAGTCCTTGTGAGCTTGAGTGTTGTTAGGCTAGACAGCTTAGCAATGGAGGGCGGCAACTCCACAAGGTCGGAGCAACCGACAAGCAAGTGCTCTTGTAGATTGGGCATGTTATGGAAGAAGTCGCTATCAAAAGTTTCTACATTTGAGTAGGAGAGATCTAGGTAGAGCAAGTTAATCCTATTGTTGCTATTTTTTTCCTGGGAGAGTAGTTCTTTTGGTACATGGGAAGCTGAATGGATTTGTGAGTTTACGGCATCCCTTGAGGAAAAGCAACTGGAGTTTTTGGAGATAGCAGACTGAAGGAGGGAGTGATTCTACTTCAGTATATGAGAGATCAAGAACATGAAGATCAAGGAGCTTGGGCAAGTACAGTTGATCAAGCAGTGGAAAAAAGCTTGGTAAGCAACGCCTTATAATAAGTGTGGTTGGGCCCCGAGGCCCGTGGCTCAACCATTTTCTGCTTATTTGCCACACTCGGCTGTCCACATGTGAGATCCACCTGATGGGCTCCAACGTAGGATGCAGGAAATACCGAGGTTCGTCTTTAGCTAGTGGCTCTGCAATGATCTACCTCATGTGCTCCAACCTAGGATGCTGGAAATCCCAAACTTCATCTATAGCTAGTTGCTCTGCAATGAGGCTGTGATATGATAAGAAGTGTGCAGCTGTCTTGTCGGCCTCACCGGCTTCAAAAACTTGAGAAGAAAAGGGTAGCTGCAGCAATGAGTACTCCCGAAAAGTCTCAATGATGACACTTCCAACTTGATATGCACTGTCATCATTGGATTTGCCATGGTAGCTGTCCGTCACCGTCACCTCCCCTATTCTTTCTCGGACAGCTCCTTTGGTGGCAAGTAGGATGCCATGGGAGGCCCATTGCCATATTAACTCATGCTTATCTGAGCCTGAGGTAATATCTTCTTCCAGTGCACCACGACTCCTGAGCGCTTGATGCATAGCAGATAGTACATTAGATAGCACAGCAGCAGTTTCATACCTTGTACTGAGTTGGCTCCTGAGCAATTGCATAAAGAGAGTTGCTTCTTTTTAGAAAAAAGTGTGTGTTACGAGGAGAACGAAGAAGCTTGGAAGTAAAAGAATTGAACCAAGTGCAATTTTGCAAGAGGGAACCTGGTAACTTACCGGTCCATTGTATCAGCATCATCGAGCACTTCCTGGATGTACTTGTTGTGGTAGTGCTGGCAGAAACTCTTCATTTCTCGAGGGTCATTGCGTTTGACCCTTGCCATAAGTGGGGAATGTATGTTGCATTGAACCTCCCATATGCGGAGTCTCTCTTTGTACGGGTCATACTCACGTGGAAGCCATGGATCCGGGGATCTCAGCCGATCAGGAAGAATCTTGTCCACGGCATAGAGTCGACCTGATGATCGACATATAGATAGTATCAAGTACGTACGCCGCATGCATGAAGGAATTAGTCAATTTATTACACAGGAGGAAGGGAAGGGAATTGGATATAAAGCAAATTTGGAGAGACTGGGCCGACTTACAGAGGTAGGCAACGCGTGGGTTGATGTCCTCCACCTCACGGGCAGCACGTAGGATGGCCAAGGTGGGGATGTCCTCGAGATGTTCTTTGAGACCACTAATATTATAGACATAAAGGCCCTTTTGCTTCCAAAGAAACTCTTCATATTCATGGAAGAACGAGGTTGAAGGGAGTTCGACATCACTGTTCAAGGACTCGCCGATGCCACCTAAGGGATTGAGAAATATTAGAGCGTAGTGGAAGCACCAAAGGGCCACAAGGTGCCAATGCTGCTCGTCTTTGTTGCCGATCACATTAGATGTGTGCTTAGCCGCTCGATGTAACGAGTAGGCAGTAAGGATCAATATATCATCCCCACTAAAGGATTGGATGGCACACTGATCATTATCTGATGACTTGCTATCATCATAGACATCTATGGAGGTGGTGGACATGAGCCAGAAAGAGCCTTCCCACGCAGGAGCAGGAAAACCTGCCCCCCGTGTTAAAACATCAACATTGATGGGCTCGTCTAGGTTCTGAACCACAAGCATGTATCTCTTCCCCAACAACTTTTGGAGGATCTGAGGAACCATTGACCTTGACAAGATTTGTAGCGAGTGTGAGTCTGTGCCACTGCCATCCATCGTCCCGTATGTATAGTACCGCAGCTCATCATTCTCTTCCTTGAGCCTTCTGTATTCTTGGTTGAGAGAGAGCAGACCGAGCTGCTCTGCCACTTCGATGGCCAGTCTGTCATTAATGTTGAGCATCGTCCTTGACCATGATGCTTGCTTCATATCCACCTCTATTACGTGATCAAAGGGACCATCCGACCTCATCTTTTCCTCCCGAATGATGCTTGATATAGCTTGTGTGAAACTTGCTGTGGGTCCGACCCCGACATTCCACTGTATGTGCTTATAGGCAACCAATTTTTTCCGCAGGCTATATAGTATGCATCGCTGTTGAGATATCCTTTTAGCCTGACCACACAAATAGAAAAGGGGGAATACTAATTTAATTAGTCCTTCGAATAAATTAGTATGCATCTCGCTCATCATTGTTGAGTAGTTAGTTATGATGATCATCTACTCTGTTTTCCCCTTCCTCGCGTTTATTATTTCTTATTATTTGACACTTCTTTTTAAATAAAATAAAGTAGTCTAAGAATCAACATGGGTGCTGGATGAACATGTAATACCACCTTTTTCTGCATGTTTACAAACAAATGGACACCACCTTTTTGTTTATGCTTCCCAGCATGAATATTGGGATACCATAGGGAGGGAGGGGGGAGTTCATGGCTAGAATTCTCTCTGTAAATCTAAACTAAAAATTCAGATGGTTTAAAAAATATACCAGAGGTCGATATCTCGTAGACGATCACGCCATTTGTCCAACATCGATTCGTCCAAGAGAAATGATTCTGCCATGACTTATGTTTACTATTTTCCTTAAATTCTCAATATGCACAGAACCTGCGAGCGATCAAAGTGATTTCTTGAACTAGCTATAAACACAGCATCACATAGTTGTTTGCACAAAGGGGAAATAAAGTAGTTTAGTATTTCATAAATTGCATCCCATCATTACCAGAGATGAGGTTTTTCCTGGCGGTTTCGATTATTCTGGCGATTTACAGAGAACCGTCAGAACGCAGAGTACTCTGTTGGTCATAAAAAACCGTCAAGAGAGATCTCAATATTCCTGTCGGTTCTTTAAAGCCCACGAGAAAACATAAACACCGTCGAGAATGCTTTGATGACTCCTGATGGCCAACCCCAAACCGACAGGAGTTCTATCCTGCCCTCGACTCGGGACAAAAAATTACAGAACACGCCTTACCGGCCACCGTGGGTCCCACATCGGGACATAAAAAGCGCGAAACCCTATCCTCACCCGCCCGCCCACCAACTCCCCAACGCCCATGCTGCCTTCAGCCCCAGCGACTCCCGATGCCCCCCGAGGGCTCCCGGCTGCCCGCTTCACTCACGCCCGAGGGGCCTCTCACCATGCGCCCACGCCGCCCGAGGGGCCCTATCCAAGGCTCCTCCGATGGGCCTCTTGGCGCCCAACGCCATGCCGCCCGTGCCGAGGGGCCCTATCCGAAAGGCGCGCCACCACAGCACGTATGGTCGCCTCCCAGCATCAGGTGCCCCCTCTCTCTCAACCTCCTCAGATCCGTACCCCCTTCCCCTCATGGCGTGCGGTGAGGTGCCCTCTCTCTCTCGCACTCAACCCCCTCAAATCTGCGGTTGGAAGGCTTTGTCTTCCCATGGTAAGGAGCATGTGTTCCATGTATGCATTGGATCTGGCCTTTTTCGGGGGGCGGGGGATATTGGATCTGGTGTTTCACCCAATGCTAGTAGGGTAGCAATTGCAGACCGTCATTTTCTATAAATTAATCATGTTTTGCTTGTGTATGCAGTGTAAATGTTCGATGGTATTCCACCGAGAAGGCCTAGGTTCAGTCATGTCTGCATCTTAGAGGTATGATCTGTAGAATTGAGTCTCTTTTTGTCTTTAATTGATTCCTTAGAATTGAATACTCATGCAATCTCTATTTGTTGAAATAGATATTGAGTGCTACTGCTAAATATTTTAGTCACCACAAGAAAATATTTCAGTATTTCCTGATGATCTTTTCCTGACGGTTTGGGCGACAGGAAATGGATACGGGGATTCCTGTTGGCTTATAGTTCCTGACGGGGATTCCTGTCGGCCACACTGACAGGAGAAACGATTTCAATGGTCAATCTAGAACCGTCAGGAATTGCCGTCAGAAAAAGTTTATGTTGATCTTTTCCTGATGGTTTGGGCGACAGGAAATGGATACGGGGATTCCTGTCGGCCACACCGACAGGAGAAATGATTTCAATAGTCAATCTAGAACCGTCAGGAATTGCCGTCAGGAAAAGTTTCCTGTCGGCCAGCCGTCAGGAGAAACCAGTCTTTCCTGTCGCGCTGTACCTGACGGCCTTTTCCTGACGGTTTTCAGCTCATTCCTGACGGTTTTTGGCCGTCAGAAAATTTCCTGTCTCTGGTAGTGCATATAATTCGGGTTGTGCTTTGGGGGTATTTGTGTTAATTTTTGAAGTTTTTTTTGTCATGTCTACATGTATGCTCAGAAGAATTACTATGTGTGGCTTTGTTTAAGTAATGGAGCATGAGGAAGAAGTCCCACAGTGCAATTCCACCCACATACATATAGAAAGAAAATAGTTAGATATGTGGCATGCTAAGTGGTGCTTTTTTTTTGCCTCCTTGCATTGCTTGGCCTATTTTGGTTGTTATTTATGAGAAAATTTCAAGGTGTAACTTCGTGTGATTCACAAGAGTATATAAGTTTGGTACTGATACCTCCTTGCTTGAACTGAAGGTGGCCAATATATGTTTCTCTCACAAACTCTGCTCCGCAAGCACACGTACTCTATATGATCATGATAAAAAGATGAGCAATTCAGAGTGCATATAGTACTAACTCATAAGCAAATACTTCCCCATTCCAAATTATACAATGTTTTGACTTTTTTAATATATTATTTTTACTATGTATCTAAACATACATAGCAAAAGTTATGTATCTATAAAAGTCAGAACGTTTTATAATTTAGAATGGAGAAAGTACCAAAGAATGGCAATAGTACCTGGTGGTGGTAAAATTTTGCGTTGTTATGTAGATGACAAGAAATGACCGGGTGGACTTGCTGCGCGCTTGAAAGGTCGAAGGGAATTGAGATAATATGATTATTTAGGGGGTATGCCAATTTGTCATTTGAGAAAAAGGCAAACAGCTACTTTTTGTAAGAATAAACATAATGAATGAAGTAGTTTGCTAGGATCAACATATAAGGAATAAAGGGCTCAGAAGAACAGTTGCAAGAAAGACGAGAGGAAATAGAATGGCAATTTTTTTTTTATCTTTAAAACCCTCCATCTTCAAAATAGAAGGCGCGATTTGACTTGGTGCGGTCTTTAAAATTATACTTTAACAACTAATTTCTTATATAATGCATAATTTATAAAAACAAGAGTTTGATCTTTGGAAGTTGTTTATAAACACAAATCTATTGTAGTCACTTTTGTACTACAAACTTTTTATATGATTAGACTAATTGTTGTTCAAACATAACAAAGTTTAAATTTTAAAAGATGCACATGTCTTATATTTTAGGACAGATGTAGTAATTGATTAGACAAAAAACGATAGGCCAAGAAAGACTTACAGGACGGAACCAACATATAAATTGTATGACTTTTTGTCTACATTTGCTGATCTGAAGGCTTAATTGTAGGTACGAAAGAACACATTTGGAGATTTAGTTAGCATGGAAATGATGGAACAAGAACCGGCTGAAGGGTGGTGGCAGAGGGAAACAAATGGCCGGGAACTGGGAAGAGAACTGCTCTTCCCCATTGCAGCGCTCTGTTTTTATACGAGAATGGAGGGACAATATTCTCAGCTTATAGTGACACGCAAATGGTACATCTCTCGATCTGAAAGCCAAAGACGAGATTCTCAGGTTATAGTGACACGCAAATTATACCTCTCTGAAAGCCAAAGTGTAAAGTTGAGAATACGGATGGATGAATAGTACCATGTTCAAAGAAGATAGGGCATGCAAAGTTGATTCGTGCTGGAGGAGCATGTTCCTCAAGGAAAAAGGAAAGACAGACGAGAGAGAAAATAAGAAGGCAATGAATATGATGTTAACGCAGGATGATTGTGTCTGAAATCTTGTATCCATTATTTTTCTAGGCTAGCAAATACGATTATTACAAGCAGTTCTAGCAAAATAAAAGAAAAGAAATAGAGCTAGAGCAAAATAAAAGAAGTTTGAGCATGAAAGCTGCATTGGGGTGTGACGAAACGAAGTTTGAGCAATACAGCTTCTGTAGTTCTGGTGACCATATCATGCCAGAGAGCATCCAGTCCGTACAGAGCAGATACATCTCCGCAGACCGCATCACTGCATCTGATTATAGTTTTTTCAAGTATACAAAAAGAAATATTTCTAAAATCTACAAAACGAAAATGTACAGAGCATCATTCTATGACATGAGTTCTGTTATGGCTTATGGTATGATAGTCAAAACAATAATGATTTGCACAATGAAATACGAACCAAACATGAAGCAGGAAATCATCAAAATGATGGTTGAGAAAACAGAGCCAAATCTGTTCTCTGCTTTGCAGGCCATACAAGGTTACCATTTTGCTTTGGAAAGGTCCTCTTGCTCAGGAAATTGATTCATAATCAACAGTCTGCGGGGGGCAGGGGGTGGGTGTGTGTGCGTATTAGCAAAAGCCCAACAGTTCACAAAAATACAAGATGGCACTTCGTGCAATAAAGTAATAAACTTCAACCACGGAGTCTTTAGCTCTGTCAGAGAATGGCCATTTGCCATCAGACGCCACATTGGTGCTTCTGAGAATGGCCCCTGGAATACTCTGACTGAAGCTTTGCCGAACACAGTTTGGACAGCTTGAACCGTCCAATGAAAAGGTACCTGGTTCATCAGGCTATAGACACGAATGGAGGTACTGGAATAAAACCTGGTGATGGATACAGTTCCAGCAATGTGTGGAATTCCACAAAAAATATGTTCTCCATCTGATTTAGGAATAGATTCACCAGATGATTAGAAAACTAATATACCATGTGATTCTCTCCATTGCCCCCCACCTCCCATAGAATGTCCAATAGCAGTTGTACTGAAAAATATTGTACATAGTTAGATATATAACACGAAGAGACCCCCACTAAACATTTTCAGTTAGCTTTATATCACATGAACTGTACCCACATTAGCAGAAAATCTATCAGAGAGAACAGCTCAGTAAAAAATATATATTCAGTTTTTCAGTATTACGAATACCTTATAATTTCACTGAGAATTAGAAGTGTGACCTCATGTCAAGTATGCAAATTCCATATTAAGGAAACAGTGAATAAATTAGTACAGAACGAATTCTGCAAAAGCTGATCCATCATCAATGGGAACTTTTGATAACTGCCAATTCTTCTTCATGTAGAGAGAAATGACTTGAGAATTATTTAATATGCGTAAGATTCAGTAAAATTGCTAGTGCAAAGTACAGTTAACAGTGGAAGAGGCTCAACAGTTTTATCTAGTATCACTAATATCAATTCTTATATATAACCAGGACCAGCTGATGCACTTTTCTAGTTTCTCTAAGATAATAGGCAAGGTTTTAAGTCAGACAGTATATTGTTGGGTGTTAGGTATGAGGAATTGTATGGTATAAACCTAGTTGCTCTGGATTTGAAAAATATGGTGTCATGTGACCAAATCATTACCTGTTACAACAAAATATGTAGAAAGTCAGGAAATATACCTAAATATTCATGGAATGGCCCCATAAGGACATAACAAAGTGATCAACCAAACAATCCTACATGAGTTGGTCCCTCAACCAAACACATCTGTAATACATTCACTAATTAGAAAGCAGATCACAGAAGTTTTTCAAAAATCTTTTAGAGATATGAAGTTTCTTCAGTACATAGTTACATACGCTGCAATATGTTTTGGTGAGTTTCTATAGCCAATTTATGCCAACGCATCGCACATGTTTCGAAGTTCTGTGTAGTATTCACCCTTTTTTTACATATCTAAAAGGGCATACCCAATGCAGAGAGCTCCCGCTCTCTGCGGGGTCTGGGGAAGGGTGTTAGTGGCAAGCCTTACCCTCACCTGTGCAATGCGAGGAGACCGCGACTCGAACCTGGGACCTTCCGCTTTTTTTTACATATCTATTGAAGCATATTTATTCTTCCAATAAACTCCATCCAGGTTCTTTCTTCACATCCTTGACTGATTTTCTTATTTCCATTACACCTTCCCAGTCTCCAGAATTTGCTCGAATGTTTGACATAGTAGCAAAACACCCCGAATCACAATTT